ATGAGTGACAGGCTCATGGATGCATATATTCGATATATGGTACTGTACGTCAAGGTCGACAGAAACTGAAACCACTTTCTGAAATTTCAACTTTGTAATGGTAAAGTGGGCAACGCGGTTTTATGTTAAACTCGATCGCAACGACGCCAAGAATAATTCCCTGACAGCAACAGTTCCCTTCAAAATAACCAGTATCCCAGTAACCTCGAAACCCCCTTGTGTTGCTCTTCCCGGGGTAAAGTATCATCACCAGGGGTTACATAGCTACGTATCGCAAACCCCTGAAATGCACTTCACCCATAGTTGGAATGTATGCATTGTTTTGGTTGGCACTGCATTTGCTATGTACTACTTCGAGGTACTACTAGTACGTAGTATGTCTGTATACAGTAGTCCCCCAGAATAGGGAACCTTTGATTCCGATACGTTTTAAGAGGTATCACTACTGCACAGGTATAAAACTAAAAAGGTACTTTCGAAAGGGTTCCTTGCTTCTGATTGGTCAATGTACTCGGATTGAAAAATCGACATCATTTTCGAATGCAGGAGGGGGTTGATAACTGTATCCTAGCTTACAGATGACCATGACGATGTCCATCCGTCATAGGATTGGTGTGTTGCGAGCATTGCATCTTGTTGAAATATTTGACAAGCTGGTTGAAACGGCTGACGAAACTGAATAAGAAAATTTCGCGTCACTCGTGAGCACTGCTCGAAGTTAGTCTGTTGGAAGCGTTGGAGTGGGCCAAGGAGGCTTGGCAATGTGTGACGCAAGTCACTTTTGTAAATTGTTGGCGCCATAACGTTACTGGTATTATTGACAAGGAGGTTTATGAGTTGGTTGATAGTATGCATAACCTTTAAAAAGAATGAAACGTGTTTGTGTTTTGTCTTCAGGAGGTTGCCACCGTGACATTGTCGATTGTCGAATTTAGAGGGTCAGGTGAAAGGCCAAATGCTAAACGAGCCCATCGAAGCAACTCAACTCTTTTCATGGCAGCGCATGACGCATGCTGCTTTAACAGTGTACGCTACTGCTCCATTGTCAATCGTAGCCGCGACAACGGCGAGGGCATGCTGAGTTCCAAGTGTGAGTGTCGCCAACAAGTGTTACATTATTTGCGTAGTTAATCTAAAAGTTGAATGTACCTCTCGGATTTTATGACTGATTTGCACGCAAAATTATGTTTTCTGAGAGGATATAGATTTATGGTGGGTTCCTTATTCCGGGGGACTACTGTAGTGACGTTTATTCGCGTTTATCAGTTAGCTAAGGAATCTTTTGGGCCTACACCTATCGGACTTCGCATATAACTTGACTACTCGGAGTACTAGTATGACATACCGGTACTAAGAATAAATGGAACTGTTGCTCTCAGGAAATTACTGATACTACATATATATATATATATGTATCCAAACTATCGCCTTCTTCGAGAGGTGTGGGGCATGTTTACGCCCATAAAAATAGAAGCGACGAGCAAGCCTTTTTACCGTGGAGTGCTTGGTAATATACTACCTAGCTAGCTAGCATTTGTTTCAAACCTCAGATTCGTCAGACAAGTTCATTTTCGCGCACCAAAATGAATGGTGTCGCAGATTGTGCCATGAACACTGCGACTTGATATTCCGAAATTTAGAATTTCTGGCGAGTGCAAACCTCGTAACGTTATACCCAAACTGCCACGTTGTGAAAGCAAACATGGTGGTGTTTATTTACTGTTAACGCGGTGGATTGTACGGGCGCAAGAACAAGGCAATCCAAAACGTACTGGGTGTACACCTAGAGCACTGTCGCACGTGAATGGATCAAGGGGGCTAACTCATCCATGCAACTCGGGAGAAATGGGACTAGTTACCTCAAGTACTCGAATAAGTAAGTACTCATATGTACTTTATAGCTAGCTATCCATCACTCGTAGTGGAATGTCATTGATGAAATCATATCGCGACTGGCCGCCTGTAAGAATAAGTTAAGGGGTTGACCGTTCTACGGATTGTCTGGCCGGATGATTTCACATATTCCAAATGTCCATTTGACATGCGTGTTCGTGTCGTTGTGCTGGCATGAATCTGATAACCTGATAAAACGTCCATTGCATTGCCTAGGTTTTAACCGCGTTTTACTCAAAAAAACTTGTCCAAACGAGTTTAAACAACACCCGCATGTGATTCGACAGGCAATAAAACGTCGTATGCCTCTCGTATAACGCTTGTATATATCTAGCTTTGCGTTCAGATCATTGGAGAAATACATGGCAACAACAACCTACAAAGTCCCATTCTTCCGATCAACTCTAGTTCATTTTCACACTTTCCCACCATACCGTTAGTCGTCCCTATGGCGACACTGCCGCCCCCAGACGAAGCTCGTTTCAAACGCATTGCAAAGCAAGCCACCGCCGACCTCGTCCGCAATGCGCTGAGTTTGCCAAATCTCAAACTCTTATCTCGCGTGCAGCACAAAGCCACGTCCCGCCATGCTGTCGTACGTCCAACATGAACCCAGCATAATATTCTCGATGCTATTTCTCGTGTTGGTGGGGGCTCACACCTGGTGTAGATTTATGGGGGCCACGACAGCACAGATCCATCGCTCCCGATGGTTGGGGCGCACACGTTCCTTCGGTCATCGTTGACGGACTTGGCCGACTTGTTCCAGCTCAACACCCCCGCCAAATTGGACGCGTATGGGGCCACACTGGGCTCCCGCATCACAGCCAAGCAAACGCTGTTTTCACTGACCAGTACAGAGCATCCAGCAGCAACATCATCAGCATCATTGGCCCCCCACTGTGAGATTTCGTGGTTTGCGTACAATCCACCGCTGCCTGGCATGTCCAAGCGCGACTATTGCGTGTTGGAATCTCACACTGACATTGAAGTGCTGGACCAGTCCAATCATGTGCGACGTGGGTGGGTGCGGTGTTTGCACTCGATCGACGACGTTGCATGGTACCCGCCCGTGCCGAATATGGTGCGCGCGTCGATTGCTAGGGTAAGTCGGCCAGATCGCGCCTCGTTCATGATGTTTACGAAAGATTGGTTGGGGAGGAGACTTATGAATATGTACTTCACATGGGATAGAGTATATATATATATATATATATCGAGAGAGAGAGAGTATGATGTTTTACTTTTTATATATATTGTAGACGGGGCTTGTTTGCATTGAAACGGACACGCCAGGGCTGTTGGAAGTGTACTATGTGCTTGTGCCTGTGCTCACGGGCGCCGCTTGGAACGTTGCTACGAAACGAATGGCGAAACGACAAGTGGAAAAGGTAATAAATATATTGTGTACTCGAATTGTTCAAGTTGACCCAGGGAACCTCTATAAATGAATATTTCGTTAGATTTTACGCCTGGAACAGTTCTTGTCGTACCAGCACTTAGACTATGGAAGGGCCATCAGTGCGTCGGTAGTGTCCGTGAAGAACACCACCAAGTGCTGCGCTCGGTGTACGAAAACCTTCCACTGGCTTCGCACCAAGCGGCAATGCCACCGTTGTTTGGATGTAAGTTCGCCTGAATAATCCCTCTATAAAACGATAACCTTCGAAAATCGAATTCAATAAAAATCTATCGTAGGCGTTGTGTTCGTCGTGCGGGTCCAACTGGTCGGTTCGAGGCAAAAAACTATTTGTCTGCCACGATTGTTTTCATCCGTCCCTGCAAGACCCCGCTTGTATGTACTAGTATTACTAGATATGCCTTCTTTCATTCAATTTGGACAACGTTTCATTTAATTTGGACAACCCAACACTAATCCATGCAACGAACGATAGATGACGACTCGCTCCGAGGTCGGCAAATGACCATCTCCATAGATCGCGCCTCGTTCATGATGTTTACGAAGGATTGGTTGGGGAGGAGACTTATGAATATGTACTGCACATGGGATAGAGTATATATATATATATAGAGAGAGAGAGAGAGAGTATGAGGTTTTACTTTTTATATATATTGTAGACGGGGCTTGTTTGCATTGAAACGGACACGCCAGGGCTGTTGGAAGTGTACTATGTACTTGTGCCTGTGCTCACGGGCGCCGCTTGGAACGTTGCTACGAAACGAATGGCGAAACGACAAGTGGAAAAGGTATTAAATATATTGTATACTGTACTCGAATTGTTCAAAACGATGGATGGCTATATATATTCGTCGAATATATATAGAATGACCCAGGGAACCCCTATAAATGAATATTTCGTTAGATTTTACGCCTGGAACAGTTCTTGTCGTACCAGCACTTGGACTATGGAAGGGCCATCAGTGCGTCGGTAGTGTCCGTGAAGAACACCACCAAGTGCTGCGCTCGGTGTACGAAAACCTTCCACTGGCTTCGCACCAAGCGGCAATGCCACCGTTGTTTGGATGTAAGTTCGCCTGAATAATCCCTCTATAAAACGATAACCTTCGAAAATCGAATTCAATAAAAATCTATCGTAGGCGTTGTGTTCGTCGTGCGGGTCCAACTGGTCGGTTCGAGGCAAAAAACTATTTGTCTGCCACGATTGTTTTCATCCGTCCCTGCACGACCCCGCTTGTATGTACTAGTATTACTAGATATGCCTTCTTTCATTCAATTTGGACAACGTTTCATTTCATTTGGACAACCCAACACTAATCCATGCAACGAACGATAGATGACGACTCGCTCCGAGGTCGGCAAATGACCATCTCCATCACACAAGCCAAAGTGGACGGGTTATTGGAAGCAGTGGCGACGCCCGATGTCCTACGAGACGATTTGGACTCGGACTCAGAGCGCTATACGAATGACACGACCAGCGGAGTGGACTGGGACGACGAGATGAACCTGGTTGACGACGCCAAGTTGCTGCAGTTGCTGTGCAATCGAGATGCGCTGGGGAAACTGTGCCAGCAATACAAATTAGACCGCTGACGAATACTACTACGGGGTAGTACGTATACTTATCAGGGCACGAGTCCACGGGAAGAGTTCGAGCTCGATAGTAGTAGTACTAACGTTATACAATGATTGCTAACATTGGTAACGCAAGGCATGATGGTGATCTGTCAAATGCTTCGAAACTCTCGAGCCTTCAGCAGAATCTGTTAAGTGAATGGACTAAAGAACCGTCTAAGCCAATCAAATCACATTCTGCTAAATTTCTGCCAATCCAAACGTTTGACCCCTCCGCATTGGGCAAAACCACATACTTCGTATAATCGTTGTAGAGTATATTGTGTACTCCAGAGTAGTACAAGATAAAATAGGATCAAATGGATTCGAATGCTATTTGGTGAAATGACTCGCAAGTCCAAATTTGGGTGAAATGCGCAAGATATTAAATTTGCTTTACAGTTAGGGTGCGCCTGGTAACATTTCAAAAATAATATTCCATTTTCTCGCAAAATGGGATTAACCAAAATGCCATTTTCAAAATGGAGGTAAAAGGTCTGTTTTGTAATATGGCGTTTTGAACCTCTTCAACGAGTAAATCCTACTTGGAATTATTGGATTTGGGTTAAACCTCTGCAAGCAAGACATGTTTCAATATTGATCAGATTTGTTGAATTCGGCCCCAAATTGGGGTTTTGGGGCTGAATATTGCAATATTTCCGGTTACCAGTCGCACCCTTAGCTTTTTGAACCAATCCATGCGCATCATTTTGCCGTATAAACAATTGATTATCCGGATAGAACCCATTTCCACAGCTTGGTGGCGCGCACCCAACAACTCTCGGCTTATGTGGCGCACTTTCTCGGCGGGCCAACGACGGTTACCGCGTGTGTCTTCATGTGAATGTACTAGGCGTGCGTTCAGCGATGCTCCCGCTTCGGGTGTCCTTGGACATGAGCACCTTCTGCAGGGGTTGACGGAAGCGGACGACATGCGTCCCGTGACGATGGTACAGGACAAGCAAAGCGCCAAACGCGTGCTTGATATCTTGGAGTCGTTGGGACCAGGGCACATGCATGCTTGCGACACGGAGGTGGCGAACATCGACGTGAAGAAGGTCGGGCCGGTGGGGAACGGCAACGTGACGTGCTTGTCCATCTACAGCGGTCCCGACGTCGATTTTGGCAACGGTCCGTACGTGTGGGTCGACAACCTCGACAGCGCCGACGGTACGAAGAGTTCCGTTGCTTCCACCACCGCCTCGTTCCTTAAGATGCATCATCATGACAGGTACCCTCGAGTACTTTCGTGGGTTTCTCGAATCGAAGACCCACAAGAAAGTATGGCACAACTACAGCTTCGATCGACATGTGTTGTTCAATCCGTCGACGCGCATCAACGTCCAAGGACTTGGCGGCGATACGATGCACATGGCGCGGCTATGGAACACGGCGCGGTTCCAGAAAGGCGGGTATTCGTTGGAAGCGTTGTCGGCGGATCTCATGGAGCGCCGGAAGAAACCCATGAAGGAGCTATTTGGGGTGCCCAAGCTCAAGAAGGTATGGTCGGTCGTGCATTATATTAACCCTAAAATGATATATACGATATATATTGGATCTTTCAATAATATGTTGATATTGGCAACCCAAACTTGACCCAATATCTATATGTCTCGTTTTCCCTCAAAATTAGACTATTGTTTCGAGTACATTCGCCAATATTATTTATATTGTGCATTTCACCCAAAATTGGACTTGAGAGAGTCATTTCAGCAAATAGCATTCGAATCCATTTGATCCTATTTAATCTTGTACACACTATACTATACAACGATTAGTATATATATACGTGGTTTTGCCCAATGCGGAAGGGTCAAACGTTTGGATTGGCAGAAATTTGACGTGATTTGATTGGCTCAAACGGTTCTTGAATCGATTCTCCTAAGACTTTCGATTTATTCTGCTGAGTGCTCCAGTTTCGAATCGATTTGACAATACCAAGTACTTTATTGAGATGTATATATGTATTTTATAGTTTGGTTTTACCTTACTTTTCGTCGGAATTCGGTTCCAAGCCGAAACCAACTGTTGCAGATAAAGCAAAGGTTATTGGACCCTGTGTTTTAAGCGTGTCCAACGTACACTATACGAAAATGTTTAGTATTTCCACTGCGGAGGGACTGAACTGTCTCGGGCACTTTGGATTGGCCGAAATTCACCAAAACGTGTGATTTGATTGGCCCAGGCGGTTGATTCATTCTGGCTCGTATTGTTGTGTTTATTCTAAACTGGGGCAACATGGAGAATGAATTGACACAACCAAATAACGTACACTACAATATCGGCAGAAGTATTTAGCCAATCAGATTGCAGGAAACCATGATCAACATTGAATTAGTGTGTGACTGCATTGAATTAGTATGTGACTGCATTGAATTAGTGT